TCAGTTAACCCTTTAAATTAATAATAATATTTGATAATTAATACAACTAAACCACTGACAACATCGTAGCACCATATAGAGTCAAGTCTCCTCAGTTAACCCTTTAAATTAATAATAATATTTGATAATTAATACAACTAAACCACTGACAACATCGTAGCACCATATAAGTTTAGAAGGCATTTTATTTGCATTGTACCTAGAGGCCATGGTTGTGGGGTTTGTATTGCTATTGTGATTTTTGAGATGATCTTTCTTGACAAATATGGTAAAACAGCTTGAAGAAAGATCATTGTACATCGACTCTAGAAAGGAGAAAGTATTCAATGGTATTAAAAATCTGTKTTTCCTTCTACAACTATAATTCATATTTTACAAATGAGGTCCCCTCCTAGCCATTTTACATGCCTAAATTTTGATTTTTCATACSCTATAACCAAGACTAAACCTAAAAGTAGTCTTCTTCACTGGTAGCTACGTGCCTTTGCATCGAAGTGAGACGGCCGTTGAGCGTGAAATGATAGAAACCTTATTCATACCTGCAAACAATTCAACAGGTTTCTATCATTGCAATCTCAACTTTTGTATCGCTTTGATGCAAAGACACAGCTGCTTTTCAAGATGGTGCACATAACCATGAAGGAGACTATTCTATATACACGTATATTGTACACCCCATTTTGATAACTTTTATACAGAATATTGCATTTGTGTAGCTCATTCCAGCCTAAAACCAACCAAGACTAAAATGACCAAATAGTAACCCTATCCCAGGCAAAAACCAATCCCTATCCCCCTTCCCTGGGGAAATAAAGTCTGAAAAAATAATTTCCTGAACTATGTAGATTGTATTGAATATACTGCTTTGTCACTAGAGATTTGGATTGTATTCTCATGGCTTATCAACATATTGATTTTTTCAAAGGAGGAAAACAACCTTTAGGGGTAGGCAGAAGACATATTGCTTTGGGGAATCCCCTGTCTGCCTCTTCCTGATGAAAGCAAAGAACTAGAATAAACTGTCTATAATATAGGACCCTGATCGTCAATGTTAACTTACAAGGGTTGATGGTATAGCTCGTTTAGTTTGGTCAACTTGTACAATGTTGCAGTATTCCTCACCAAGAGTCTGAAAACCTACAAAATAAAAATGTACACTTCAGTACCTCAACAAATCTACATTTTGGTATAATATCCCATTTATATTGTGGTTTAGCTCTAGAGACTCAAACCTTGATTTGATGTAGTGAAAACATTAATAATGAATGCTTCATTTCATAGTTCCAAGTGCCATCTTGAGAGGTAACCAAGCCTTTGTTTGCATCAAATTGAGGCAGGAGTTTAAGATTGCTGCGATAAATACATTTTATTTACTAAATGAAAGTTTATTGAAGGGAATGATGCAATCCAAGTCAAAAGGCTCAACTACCTTTCAAGATAGCACTGAGAGCTGCAATGCATGAGTCAATTGAAACCCTGCACTCCCCCCTCCCCCCTGGTCTTACCGGGGCAT